GAGAGAGAGAGGAGAGAGAGAGAGAGGGAGGGGGTCAAATTGCTATTCCAATATTCGTGATTTTGTTGTGTGAGAATTCTAGTGTTAAACTTAAGTTAAAGTTGGTATATTTTAGGTGGCAATTCATGACTATTATATTATTATTCTGATAAAATAAAATAGTACATCAGACTCCAAACATATCAGATTGAAACCATTAAACACCTAATTAGATGACAAACTCTGGTAAGCAAATAGAAATTGCCAAATTATAAAAAGGAACCAAGATTTAACAAAAAGGAAGAAGAAGAAGAAGAAGAACTCATCCATTTTTCTACTAATAATCTTCTAAGTAGCTCACAACAAGAGAGGGGTATAAAAGATTTTTCTTTTTTTTTTTTGTCTGACAAAGGAGAAGATAAGAGAGCACTACAATTAGATAAGAGAACACTATAAATAAAAAAATGGAACCCTTTTTTTTTGCCTAGATATTTTAAGTAAAGATAGAAAACAAGTATCTTGAATAATCTTAGAGGAAATTATGAATTAGCTATATTTTCTGCAGCATAATTGAGAAAACTAGAAGAAGAATATGAGTAGCATTATCGTATTTAGAGAAAGCAAAAAAATATTATCATGTTGTCATAATTAGTCGTTTCTGGGTTTCTTATCAGATTTTGTATATTTAGGGTGATTAAGATTGCATTTAGAAATATATTTATATTTTTAATATGTATTTAGAGAAAGGAGCTTAAGTGATTTTATTATTACAGTATATTTTGAGTGTTTGGTGAAATAATATATAAAATCTATATCTTAAATGTGTAATGACATAAGTATTATTTGATAAAATTATATTTTAAAATTTTATTAAATATTACATGACCAATTTATCCTATCAATATTTTTAATATTTATTCTAAAGCGAATATTTATTTTTATTTAAATAAATAAATAAATGTATGTAATCATACAAGATTTCATACTATTCAAATATATAATAAATAAAAATATAATCACATAAATAAATATAAAATAATATTTAAAATAAATAAATAAAATTTCGCCTTATAAAAGATAAAAATCATATTGATTTTTCACTAAATCATGTTGGTAATCTTGTGATTTTAGATAATATAATTTATTTTAAGATTTTAAAAATTATATTAGTATCCCATATATACTAAAATGTTAATTCTATCCTGAGGTAGAATCCAAGTTAAATGTGATTTAAAAAAAAAATCAAACATTAATTCAAATTTGAAATGTGCAATGCACATTTCAAATATGTTTCCATATACATCCTAAATCTATGATCAAATATATAGGAATTTTAAAACAGTTTTATGATTTATTAAATACTAAAAGTATTACCATTTTTTACAAGAAAAGATTCAAAAAAAATATTAGGACAAAAGGAGTACAACTATGAGTGTTGGCTTTATAGTGAACCAAAATCAGACAATTTGCTCTTTCTTGCATAAAGAACCAACCAGTTTGCTGCTTGATTGTCATCTCTCAACACATACAAAAACTTAATCTCTATAAATTTCTAAGTAAGAATATAATATTTCAAATGGCATTCATCGTAGGCCAATTAAAAGGAGAGTTCTTCGTCAATATGTCAATCATGATCATTGAATTTGTCTACCCTTAGTTAACCCGAGTCCTTCCAAGACAATAAGAGTTTCACATTAAATCAAATAAAGGAATCAAAAAGAGAGAAGAAAAAGATAATAAAAAATATATATAACTGATAACAGAGAGATTTCCTCTGATATCATAGAGATTTCCTCAACTACATAACAGATGAGATTTCCTCAACTGTATGAGGCAATCTCTCTGTTCAGTTAAAGAAATCTTATCTTTCACCATGTATAAATAGACTTTATATGATATTAATTGATGTGTGCTTTTCTTCATTCTCTCATTTCTTCATGGTATCAGAGCGGAAATTGTGAGGAGCCATCACTACTATTGCAGCACCCCTATTGAGTCGACGCCGAGAAAAATTCTTGCTGTTCGACATCACACTACTGCCAAAATTTTCCTCGTATGCGGTAGTCCCCCCTCTCCAGATCCTAGGCGGAGCTGCCCCCCCCACTCGCCACCCACAATCGGTCGTTCGACAGTAACTTCCCTGCTTCCAGTCTCGACCATGGCTACCGCACCAAGTTCCAAGCCTATGGTGCAACGCTAAGCATTTGTTGGGTCCAGTCAATGCATTTGGTGACTTTGCATCGCAGGGAGCACGCACTCTTGGTTCCTCCTTACTGTAGAATTTTTTTTTTGATTCTTCCTCCCTCCTTACCACAGAAAAGTACCAACACTTCTTACTTTTTCTTCCGCTTTACTGCAGAACTTGTTCATTCTTCCTAGCTTCCTACTACAGAAGTATCAACACTTCTTCCTTTTTATTTTTCTTTTGATCCTTGTTATTGCTACATATTTCTATTTGCTCCCACATAGTAGTCCATATCTTCCATGTCTTCATCATCTACCTCTGTTGCTCCACTTATTGTTCCAACAGGGAATCATAGTACTTTCCCATATACAAATCTTATCTTCATAAATGTAGCAACCCTCATCCCCTTCAAATTATCCAAAGGTGGTAACTACGCATCCTGACGTGCTCAATTTTCTAATATTCTATTTGGCTATGACCTTCTAGGCTATGTCGATGGCTCTCTTCCTTGTCCACCAGTGATGATCATCATCCTAGGAGCATCCAGTCCAGTATTAAATCTGGACCACAAAGTATGGTTACGCCAGGATCGTCTCATTCTTCAAGCAATTCAAGCTTCGGTCGCTGGATCCCTCGCCCCACTCATATCTTCGTGTGACACTACTACCGAAGCCTGGTGCAAGTTGCAAACCACCCTGGCAAATCGTTTACGAACTCGCATGCTTAGTCTCCTATCCGGACTTATGAAAACAAAACAAGAGGGAAGTACTGTTACTGATTATCTGCACAACATAAAGATTATTATCGATAACTTGGCCTTGATAGGTCATTCCCTCGGTGATGAAAAAGTTATTGTCCATATCCTCAATGGCCTAAGAGACGAGTACAAGGAACTGATAGCAGCAATACGGGCACGTGATTCACTAGTGTCGTTCGAAGAACTCTACGACAAGCTGACTGATTTTGAGATATATCTTAAACGTGAGGATAAATTGTTAGGACCATCCATCATGGCTCAAGTCAATCAAAAATCCACGAGGAGGGGCTATCAGTAATAACAAGACTATCAACAAAGGTTCGACCAAGATGCCTTCTGAACCTTTGAGCTCCAACCAAACCCCTCCTCCACATCATCAACATTTCAATCACGACAACCAAGGTGGCTACTTCAATCAACAACAGTACTGGCACCCTCAACACACAAATCAACGAAGGATAAAGTTGGTCACTCTGCAAAGGTCTGTCGATCTTGACCCTGACTTCCTACACAATCACATTGGCCTCAAGCAAATCTCGCAACTACTACAAACACTACTGATCATAATTGGATCGTGGACTCTGGCGTGTCACACCATATTACCTCTGATCTATAGAACTTGTCGATCCACAACAACTATAGTGGACATGACGACATCATCATTGGTGATGGTAAAGGACTTTCTATTACTCATACTGGTTCCACAATGCTTAATTCACCTACCACAACTTTTACACTTGATGATGTTTTATGTGCACCTCACATTAAACACAATCTTATTTTTGTTTCTCAATTTTGCAAACAAAATAATACCTCTATTGAATTCTTTCCTAACTCTTTTCTTGTCAAGGATTTGAACATGGGGGCATCCTTGCTCCAAGGTCAGAGTAAGGACAATGTTTATGAATGGCCGTTCGTTCCACAACTCAAACAACCCATTGCTTACTCCTCAGTGGCAACTCCAATCGATGTGTGGCATCGTCGTCTCGGTCATCCCTCCCTCTCTATCCAAAATAAATTACTTTCTCATTATTCTCTTTCTACTCCTACAAATAATAGCTTTTATTATGATGCTTGTCTCAGTAATAAAAGTCATAGACTCCCTTTTGGTTCTTCTTCTATATCATGTTCTACACCATTTGAAATTATTTATACTGTTGTTTGGGGTTCTGCTCCCATCACTTCCTTTGACAAGTTTAGATTTTATGTCGTTTTTGTAGACTATTTTACTAAGTACACATAGATTTATCCTCTCCGTCATAAGTCAGTTTCAACAATTTTTACCAACTTTAAAAAGTTGGTCGAAAACTTCTTTCAGTCTACAATTAAAACAGTCTACTCTGATGGTGGGGGTGAATATCAAGCTCTCACATCCTACCTC